GTGTGTGTGTGTGTGTGTGTGTGTGAGAGGAATTTTCTTCCTTTCTTCCGTTCTACTGTTTTTATTCCTGTTCTACTTGTGTCTTCCCGCTTGATGGCAGCCGGCCCGACAAAAAGAGGAACGAAAAGATAGGGTAGGGTAGGGAAAGAAAGCTTGAAACCTGGACGAGCGAGAGAGAAGAGGACGAGAAGAGAATAGAAGAGGAGGAAAGGAGAAAGCACAGAGCGAACGTGGTGGATCCCTCCTCGTTTTCCCCGCATCCCATTGATTTACATCTTGTCTTGGCGCGCGGCAAGGAAGAAAGGCTGGAAGAAGAAAGCTAGGAGAAGAAGAGAAGGCGCGTAGTCGAGGGGTGGCCGCGCGATATCAGCCGTTTGTATGCGCGACCGACGCCAAACTTTGCTGAATTGCCCTATGACTCCTTATATCCTATCCTCCGAGCACCGCCCCCCCCCCCTCCCCCTGCCCCTGCCCCCTCTCTTCTCCTCTTCTCTTACGATTCCACCCTCTGAGTCGTTATACCGATCTCGAAGAAAACCGACTCACTCCGCTCTCCTGCCCTTCCCACTCGCGCGTTCGAGAATTCCGCAAGCAAGGGAGGGGAAACGCCGCTCCAGCCACCGGATCTTCCAATTGTAAATGACGACTATAAATCGGCCGAACAACTATCCTACGATTACGCGTGCGCGATTAATTGTGTGCCTCTCGTCTAAAATTTCGTCCCTCGTTTTTTACATTCAAACCGCCCTCGTAATCGTTTTTTTACTCTTTCTTAACTCTCGTGTTTTCTGTCGCGCGAAATGGCGTTTTTCTTCGAGTAAGTGCGTTGATAAGGAAATGTTCGCCCTGTTTGCGATATTAAATATTAAATTTATTTTTACGGTTGTAGTTGGCAATACTCACTGTTGTATTCTCCGGGATCACTGGGATCCAATCGTTTCGTTCTACGCCCGTGTTTGCTGTTGTTGTGAACGAACATGTTGTCCGAGACGGCCAGCAGTGGTCCCTCTACTCCTACTTGCGTGGAAATGACCACCTGTTACATTGACATTCGTTGATGTAAGACGTCAAGGTAAAAATTTCGTAAACTTGGAGGGAAACGTCTTCAGTTAGATATCAGATAGCCGGTCTATCTTAAATCTGAGTGAAAACTGTCTCTCCTGCCGGGGAGAAGTTACGTTTTCATACTATCGAAATTAAATTATTAAAAACTTACTTTCTGAAAAAAAGTTAGTTTACTAAAAAAAAAAATTAAACCTCCAAGTTCGTTCGTCGTATCTTTCACATTGTTCCAGAATTTGTTTAAAGAACGATGTTTAAAGTTTACGTGCGTTTGAATAAAATCGTCAAATAGGACGCAGAAGGGCGTGTACAGAGAAACTATGACGCAGAACGCGTTGCGTAATTTTATTTACACGTTATGTAAGTGCAGTATATATGTTAATCATATCTCTTACGAACGAGCAATGTAACCTGATTTGCCATATTGCATTATGTGTATTCGCCATGCATTCCGTGACTCTCGTGACCCCGTATTTGTATGACAGATACTATCGCACAAATGTATGAATATAATCTCATTAAAGCCGAGCCTCGGAGCCTACAGTTGCCTCCTATAACCTAAGTTTAGAACTAATTTAGAGCTATTCGCTGTTTATTTTTTTTTCTTCTGCTTTAGGTTAGGAGAATTTTATTCGGAAAATTGGGAAAAATAATCTGCACGTCTATTTTTAATTACGCAGTAATTCTACATTCTATATTTCTTTATCGATAATGTAATACTCTTTTTTTTCTTCAATGCAGACAGCGATATATATTTGCGGACGAGTAGAAGTTGCGAGAAATTGAAACAAGGCACGTGGTTAACCTGCGAGTTTCGCGGATGCAAACAAGAGGACGATGATTTTCGGGGGAAAGTAGAAAGAACGTTTATAAAATCGACTCGGGCGGTCGGCAAACGGCTCGAAGTTTTGTCCTTCCGCAACTTCTCAACTTTCTCGGCTAGTTGGCCGCGGTGCCTAGCGAGTAACGTTGTGCAAACTTGTCCGGCGCGAGGGGTGAGAATAACCCAGAGAGAGAGAGAGAGAGAAACTCTGCCGAAGGAAGAAGGGGGCGGAAGGAGCCGCTGCTAAAATTTTAATTCGCAACGAGTCGAGCAATAAGCAATTCCTAAACAAATTCGGCGGAGCAATAAGTACTTTAACTTTGGGGAGTGGGAGGGAGGGGGGAAGAACCAGTCCGCTCGGAAGAGATTTAAATTTGACGAAAGACTTTTAAATTTGGAAATTACACACTTGGATATCTCGAGTAACGTTCGCGTTGAAACATCTGTCTTTGAACAGAAGACGTTGTTTCCGAGCGAGAGAGATATTAACGAGCAGTTTGCTTCTCTTTCGTCCGACAGAAAAGGGTAAGGCAAGAGTCGCGCGATAAGGCGGGCCGAACCAATTCGCGAAGATGGCGAAAAGACAGAGCGCAAAGTTTTTGGTAATTTATTTTTTAATTCTAGCTTTTGTCTGTGGAAATGGATACGGGCGGGGTGGCGAGATACGGCTGTCGGTGAGTAGGAGAGACCGTTATACGAAGGTGGGATGGGGGTGGGGTGGCAGAGCGAACGGATACGGGGGTGGGTCGGTTGATGCCGCGCTGAGCTAATTGCCAACCCCTTGGATTACGTCTCTTGGATGGGGATCTCAACTTGCGACGATGGTCGACCATCGGGAAATTGCTGTCTCCTTCGCCAACTTTTTCGTTCCTCCCTTTTCTTTTTTTTTCCCCTGCCCCCCTTCTCTTTCGAAATTAAAAGAGAATGTGCTTCCAACTGGAAGTGCTACGCACGATTCTCTGGAACTACGCACCACGCTACGCACCGTTCCCAACGATCCAACTAATCCAACAAACTTTCCCGTGTTCTCTCTTTCTGCTTCTATTCCTCTCCGTCTCTGTACACGCGTTTAGAAGTTGCGATTAGAATTTCGTCGGCCGACGGATTTGATTAGAAATTTCCAGTTAGACTCCTGATAGTTGCTGATCGATGGTTAAGAAAGAAAAAAAAAATTTTTTTCCTTAAACGTTCGGATTATTAATAAAAAAAGATAGATTCAGTCAACTTACTTGGAAGCGTCTCATATCGCGTGGATTGCCGGCATTCTTAAGGCAGTTCTGGTTGCACTTGAGGAAGAACTTGAGGAAGAATCTGAAAGCAGAGGGGACCGGAGTTAAACGGTTGACAAGGTGCTTAACGCTCTTCAACGCCGGGAACTTAATTAGAACGCGAACTTGGCTTGGAAAGTAAGTCTGAATATTGCATAAGCCAATCGTAAGCCCTGTTCTACTCGCCTCTATTATTCAGCATTTCTCTAGATTAAACTCTCAACCACGTGTTCTCCGACCTTTAGCAGAACGTACGTTGCATTCTACTTGCACCGTGCAAGCGTGCATCGCTACTGTCAAATGTCAAATCGAACGTTTTTCTAAAAGTATATTTTTTACGTTTGTATATACCCGCACCGTTGGCAACGTACGTTATTAACTCTCCGTTAGTTCCAAAGGTCGCACAAACGTTTGATCTTTTCGCTAAATAGGCTATAAATTCGATCGCAGGTCGAACGTTTGCTCGAACTTTGTCCAAAAACTGATCGCAATAGACTTGGAACAAGTCGTCAAGCGAAACTGTTCGCGCGAACATCCTTTTGTCGAGTTGAATGAATTTTAAACGCGTGACGCGAAGCAGGCAAGAAACTGATACGCTTTATAAGCTTAACAACGGTTGTTAAATTCAACGGGTTGCAAGGGGAATTCAAGGAGAGCGTGCAAAGGAATAAAAGGCAAGTTTCCAAGGCAAAAAGCCAACGAGTCAATTTTCATGAATTATGTAGCGCGTAGGAGGAATATTGAATTTGAGAAAATTTTTGTAGACGCGGGCAATACTCGTCTGTTTGCAGCGGTGAGAGTGAAAGGCAAAGGAAAAATTCGCCGAAGAGACGGAAAGAGGGAAAATACGGGGTCCACGTGCGTGTGTTGGTAGACTGAGATAGATGGAGAGAGGGAGAGAGAGATAGTGGAGAAAATTCGTAGGAAACAATCAGGAGGACCGAGACGATGAAGAGTTCGACGGATGAAGGGGTAGTTTTCTGGGTGGCTGGTAGGCCTGTCCTCCCGGGGGACACCATTGTTATCCCCCTACGGACTGCGTCTATACGATCCCGGGACTCCATCGAAAAATCAAACGCATACCTCCTGCTAGCGACGCCCCGCTTTTTTTCTTTCTCGTTTGCGCGAATCGCCCAAGCGAAACTGTTGGAGGAACGTCGTCTGATTTCACTTCGTCGCATCGCTTCGCCTCGCCTCGCCTCGCCACGCTTCAGTTTCTATCAATACCGCGTTTCTTTACCCGTTCCTTTGTCTCTGCTATTTTCTATACACGTTAAGAGATAAACGGAGAAGCGAGAGAAGGACCGCACGGGACACGGTAAACGCCGGTTCGTTTAATTTTATGGACATTGGCGGAAATAAAATCGTTTAGGATACACCGTATTATGCACACGCGGTCCATCATCCTTATCGTTGCGTTGATTTATCTCGTGCCATCTCTCGTCGCCTGTCTGTCCCTTTTTATCTCTCGCGACGGTTAGAAAAAGAAAAAGAATTAAAACAGCGCTAATAGCGGTTTAAGGCAACGCTTAGATAATTTCTAAAATTTACACAATTCCTCGCAATCTTTTCGAAACTTTTTCAGGTTATGTTTGTGAAAGTTCTCATAAAGTTTGGAAAAAAAAAATAAAGCAGCGCTGGTAACAGTTTAAGTAATTACCTAATACGT